AAACCAGTTGCATTGTAGGGGTAGAAGGGGGTACCGCGGGCTCCATAAATAGATCATATGCCGAAGCGGCGCACCCCCCTTCGCGGGGGGTGGGGTGAGATGTTAAACGCGTTTTCGAGCGTTTCGAGCATTACACGCGCTTTAACCCCCGCCGTAGCCGCGGCGTTATTCGTTTTCGGCAAACCCGGTGATGCTCCCATTGAATCCCGGGGATGCGTCGGGACGCTGCCGAGGGCGGCGCTTTTCCCTCCGTTTTCGACTCGCTCTCCAAGAGCGACTTTCAGGCCCCCTCGACATCTTGCCTGAGTAAACCGCGAAATCCGCGAAAGATGTGCTTAAAACGAGACGGCGGCCCGCGAGACGGATAAATAACGCGACCTCTGAGCGACGCTTGCGATAAATAAACGGAGGCGGGACCACCCTTTGACCCCGCGTCCCGGTAAAATCCTCGACGAGAGAAAATTATCCCCTTCTGGGGGAAAAAAAAAAATAAAAAAATAAAAAAAGAAGAAATTATTTCACAAGTTTGCGCGCATCCGGGGAGTGATAACGACTTTTAGGTAGCCGTCTCAAAGTGCCGGCCGAATTCGATTTCGGCCCGCCTCCCGAGGAAGTGGCGGAAACGCAACGTCGCCGCACGGCCGCGACCGGCGTTTACCTCGGGCCGCATTTAATGCGATATTCCCTCCCTCGGTAGATGCACCCCCCATTGTAATGGAACCGTATCGTAATATCGCATCTGCACGCCGGACTACAAATTGGCTCTTTAAGCCCGTATAACGCGGCCGGCTCGTAACGAGGTTTGCGCCTCCTATCTGCCAATTAATGCGGCATATCGTTTTCTTCCCGCGGGACCCGGGGACCGGGATAGCCCGACGAGTGACGTGATCGATCGCCCTACCGAAAATCGCCGATCACCCGGCCGCGATACTATTTCCCGATAGGGGATAAAAAAGCGAGGAATTAGATACCGTGATAAACCACCCCCCGCACTAGATACTCCAAAATGTAGGAATTATTATGGGTGGAGAAAAAAAAATCTTGAATTCATTAAATCTTCCATTTTCCTCCGAATTTAAGACCACTCCTCGACAAGCTTTCGCCACGTGGCGATGCCTTAGATGTCGTGAAAAAAAACAACCCCCCCACGTGTATGAACAATAGGGTGGTGAAGGAAAAAATCTCCCTCATTAAATTTTCCATTTCACCCCGAATTTAGAAGCGCCTCGCCTACGACGAACTTCTCGGGATTTCTCGTCAGAAATTCCCGATTCGTCATCGTAGCCCGACACCCGCGACGGATTAGCGTTAATAATGGAGCAATTTGTTGCTGCCAAACTCCGGATTATCGCCGGCCGATTATCCAGGGAGGGAGGCGATTTCCCGCGGCGCCGCTCTCGCAGCTGCTGGATTTATTAACCCTCGTTCTGGCGGCCTTTCCGCGGGTTATTAATTATTACCGGTATCCCCGGCAATATTCATCGGCGATTTTAACATATTTTCTTGTTTTTTTTTTCTCTTCTTTTTTTTTTCCCCCGCGGCAAATTCTCTCTATCGGGATTGGAACCCGTTCCGGGTACGGCCCTCGAGCGGAGCGCACGTTCCGCAATTGTCGCAAGTGGGTCGGCGCTCTCGCGGTGGATTTGCACATATCGGCCGCGCATTTGCCGCAACGATTCCGCCCCGAATTACGCAGGCTCGGTTTCGCCCGTAATCCGGCGATACCCGTGAGGGGGAGGGGGAGGGTGCTATTCGGATTTCAATTAACGAGCCCCGTGTCAAGGAGTAAACGGCGTCGCGACCGAGACCGAAAACGCGCCGTCGAGGGACCAGGGTCTTCCGGGACGTGGCGGGAATTCAAAGAGCGTTCCATACGACCGGATAACAGGAATTAATCAATAATCCCCGAACTTCCGGGCCAACTCGGGAGATAAGCGATCCGATACAGGGTTTCGGGCCGGATCGAGCACGAGACCCGTGAAGGGTTCCTTCTTAGATCTGATCCAGGACGAAGATCAATATCATCCCTGGGGATCAAAGTGAATTTCCAGGCACAAAAAAAGGTACTTCATTGTGAACTCTTTCCGAGGTATCTCAGTCGTCACGTGACAATTTTTCACTACCGATGATATTAACCAAAATCCCGAAACTCCGGGTCATTTTAAGCTGAGTATATTAATTATGATTATACCGAGGTCGAGGAAGATGGATCCGAGGAAGGGGTTGAAAATGGGGAAAATGGGGTGCGAGAAGTACGGAATCCGGCTCGGGGTCGAGATTCAGAGACAGAGGAGGGGGGACCGGGGAGGCGGAAAACAAGGCCGGCGACATCCGTTTCGCGCAAACAGGAGTGTCGATAACGTTATCGCGGTATTAAGCGAAGTAACGACCCCGAGGTGCGGGGAAATTTATGAAAAGGCCCGGCTCCATTTCCGGGATAACGCGAATTTACGAGTCCAGGACCGGCCAAGGAGGGCCTGGGCGAGATTCTCAGCCCCGGTCTGCCACGTCGGAGTCTGAGGAGAGAAAGAGAGAAAGAGAGGAGGCGAAAGAGGTCCGTCAGCCGGTATCTAGGCTGACCGTAGATAGCGTTATCGAGACCAGCGGTATCAGCTCCAAAAGTAGCCTCACCGATTTCAGGAGGCGATTAATTCGACTCCCGGTCAATGGTCATTCCGATCTGACGAAGAGAATTGGAGGAAAAAGACGAGAAGAAATAAGAAAAACCCCAGGGATACAAGAAACGATTTCGCATCGTCGTATCGTGGCGGGGAGGTGGGCGGGAAAATGGCCGCCGGTTTTGGCAGTGATTCCGCGGTAGTCGAAGCCGAACTCCGGGGTTAATCCGGGAAACTACCCCTTTCACGACACCCGGCATATCCCGGACAAAGTGAAACGGCCCCCGAGGGGAAAGGGAGAGCCGGAGTTCGCGGTGTCGCCGGGAAGTTGCGGCGGGAGAATGACCAGTCTGGCTGGGAACCGGTGGAACTCCACTCCCAGACCCCGGAGGATAAATCCCTCCCGGAGACGACGTTTACCCTGAACGCGGGCCCAAATTGAAAAATAGATCCGATCCCTCAAAGTATCCCACCCGAGCCCTAATTCCTGTCCGGAAGTCCATCCATCGGAGTCGCCCCCGAAGATGGCCCAGAAGTGGAGAACCCAGGAGGGGAAGTTTCCCCCGACTTTTCCCCCGGGATCTTATACCGCGGTCGGAATTAACGGCTCCCGAGGGAGCTAAGGTCGAGGGGGCGAGGTTGGTTAACGCGATTAGGACCCTGGCAGTCAATTTTTCAGGGCCGACCCTGGGAAGAGTCGCTACCGCGAGGGAACCCCGAGACGTCCTACCAGGTGGACGCGCCGTCCAGGTAGAAAGCCTTTCATCGAAATCGTGGCCAGTCGCCGCCTCGGGCACCCCGAAACGCACCTGTAACGGGAACCTAGACGGAATTTCCTTAAGAGAAAGAGGAGAGAAAGCCCGTAGTTTCCCCCCGCGCTCTTCGAACCGTCGAGCGGGAGTTTCGTCACCGGATTACTGCCCTCGTTTATCATTAATCCGGTCGGGGGTCGATCGAGGTCTACGTTGGTCTCTCCTCGGGGACGGTGCCAGCGTGGAACTTTTTCCTCACTACCTCCGGATACCTGGCCTAACGGTACCGCTCCTCCAGAGTTCGAGTTCGTTGACTTTCGGCTCCCCCTTTTTGCCGAGGTACGAAAACAGGTGGATACACGAGACACGTCGACGAATCGCGGCCGTATCCACCGGACCGAGAACTCGATGCCAAACGTCAAACGAAAAGGAACATTAATTCCAGCGCGTGGAAAAAAAAAAAGAAACAAGAAATTCATACCAATCACCAAGGACTCGATTTTCGAGTCCATGGGAATTTTTTTCTTCCCATACGAATAGATTTGCGCGAAAAAAATTACGAATTGTTGCACAGCCACATCATTAGGCAGCGTTTCAATGTCGTGTATGAAACTGACAATTTCGCGTGCGAATGTTGATCGAGTTCAAACGGAGTTTTTTTTTTTTTTCCCGCGTGAATAGATTCGCATGAGAAATCTCGCAATGTTAGAAAGACATTAGTCAGCGTTTTAAAGTCGTATATGAAATTGTCAATTCCGAGTGCGAAAGTTGATCGCACGAAGGCGATAATCGGATTTTAGGGGAGATTTGGGGTGGAAAATGAATGGAAAATTCAACTAAAATTATGAATGAATTTTCACGCAATTTTCTCCAGGTTATCGGGGTACCGCCGATGAAGGGGAGATTCTCTCGCAGGCGAGGGCTATCTATACGTAATTAATGCGGCCGCTAATATCGCTAGCGTTAGTAATAAATCTAGCTGCGAATGCGCGTGATGAAAAATCCGCTGACGGAGGTGCAAACGCAGCGGCGCGCGATCAAAGTTCGTCGACTCTCTGGGGGCGTCGTACGAGTGCAGGTGCGGGGTCGGGCAAACAGGTGAGAACAAATACCGGCACAGATAACCGGGAGTGATAGGGAGAGATTAACCCCCGCGTGCACCGCACGTAGCGCCGGGCAAACTTGAAAACTTGGGCTCGGGTCATATTGTGTACTCCCCCCGACAATTACTGTACCTCTGCGTAATGCCCCGCGGTGATCGCCGGTTACGCGATTTACCGATCGCCAGGCCTTCGATTCCGATTAAACCCGACAAAATGCCCCTCCACCGAGTCCGGGAATTATCGGCCATTTTTCGTCCCTTTTATTCGTTAACTCCCTACCGGTTGCATCCCCAAAAACCGAGAAAAAAAAAAAGAAATACATACAAGATCGAAATCAATCAACTGAATATAGTTTAGCGCCAGATGCACTTTTGCGGGAGGATCTCGTCATGGGAACTTCGACGTCGTCCACACCATGGGGATTTACGACCGCCATAACGAATGATACGTTTTTAGATTCGAAGATCGTTATCTCTCGGGTTAGTATTTTTTATTTCTCGATATTAAGTACGGGGGAGCTCACCAACCTCGAGTCGAATTTAGTGCCGTCCTGTAGCGTTCCGGTGTAGTGCATGGTGAGCTGGTCGCCCTTCTTCGACTTGACGTCGCATACTTCCGGGACGTAGATGTTCTCGACCTTAAGGGCGCCCTGGTCGGCCTTGACCGCGAGGGTGGCGAGTCCGAGGAGGCACCACGCGGCGGTTGCGAGGGTCAGGGGCGTCGATGGACGAGCGGCCATGTCTACGTGCTGTGGCGGGTGCCGGCGAACGACTGAGCCCGCGTCCTCGGCCGAGCGCGCTGCCGCCTGCCGGCCGGTAGGCCGCGCATGCGCGCGCCGCCGCTCGCCGCCACATCGCGCGCTCCCATTGGCCGGCGCGCTGCCTATGTGGCGGTCGCTCCGTCTCTCTCGCTCACCCGCGAGTCCCGCGCATATCCTCTCGCTCGCTCTCGCGCATCCTCCCCTCTGCTGCTCGCTGCTCGCGGAGGAGTACCGAGGTGCCTTATGTTCAAGGAGAGAGAACGGCCTCGTGGATCTCGCTTATACGGAGCACACACAGGAAAAATTCCGCGTTAAGTAAGTTCAGCGGTCCAGCCCACACACGCTCTACATACGTACATAACCTCTTTTACCCAAAGCGCGGGCAGAATCTCCAGATGACGTCAGCCTTCGACACGTAGGGTGTCGCACTGACCGCGGCGCATCGTTGCCTCGAACATGAAAAATCGAGCAAAACTTAAATGGAAACAGTAAACGAGGTTAATCGCCGTTTCGAGAAGTCGTTCATGGTTCTCAGGACGTTCTTTCTTATGCTCGTCGGGAAATGCGAAAGTCTCGTAAATAAACTGCGTTAAGTATAAGGTTAGATTTTTTGAAATTAAAAATATTCTGAGATGGAAAGGAAATCCGAGGGCAAAAAACGAAACGACATATTGGGACCTGTACAGAAATGAGAGTATGAACGCTGGGATATATACTAACGACATTGCAAAACCCTGGGTTAAAGGGGAAAAATTGACACGAGGAGGAAGAAGAGGCGCTTGACGCGACGACGCGCCGCGCTTTGTGTGACGTCTGAGATAGGTCGGTGGGACGGGGCGGCGAGGCTGTCGGAGGAATCCGCGCGGACCAATCGTCGAGCCTGGAATAAAGATCCAGGATAGGAATGAAAATGCAATACCTTTAAGAGAGGCTCTCGGTCCGATTTACGACGGGGAGGTTTAACGAGATTAAACGCGGAGGATCGAGGGTCCGGATCTCGCGTTTCATATGAGGATGCGAGATTGGAAGCGGAGGTGGGGACCGCCTCCTGGTGCGTCGGGAATTTAGCAGGCACCGTCCGATCTTCCGGATCTTAAATGAAGCGAGATGGAGAGAGGGAGAAGGAGAGGAACGGATGCCCAAGCGACAGAGCGAGGAACGTATCCGAGAGTCGCGCTCTCTCTTTGGGCGGGATTCTCGGGCGCTCCCTTTGAGAGATTCTCGTCCCGGGGAGGAAATTTGACGGAATTTGAATATCTCTTAGGAACGACCCTCGGCAGCGACAATATTCCCGAACTCTGGCCTGCCGAGCCGGACGAGCCAGGGGATCGATTTGCAAGCCAAATACCGTCCTCTCGTTTTGCCGATCCGTTTCTCTTCTGGAGCTCGTTCGAACCTTCCTCGTCGAGACGGACTATAAACAACCTCTGGTTCCAAGGCGAGAAACTGGGAAAGCAGGCTGCGAGACCTGCGATTGGCCTGCTGCAGCTAGAAAAAAAAAAATGTATCGAGACCCACGGTCGCAAGACTCGAGAATTAATCATATCGGGTATATAGGGAGAACGGGAGGAGTACGAAAAATTAAATCCCCGATGGAAACGAATTTCGGAGCTTAGTCTTGGACCCGACGAGGTGACACTATCCAAGGCAAATAGCACCCCTTTATTCCCTCGATCCATTTTTTTTTTCTTCTTTTTTTTTCACGTCCTTTTGCCCGGAACTCCTGAGCCCTGGTAGAGTTAGAATGGGCGAGCCGACCGGGATAAAAATGGAAAGAATGGGGAAAAGCGACTCCCCCCGGTTTCTCTCTAAGCTCTGGAGCGAGAAACGCGGACGGGAATCGTCCAAGTTTCCGAAAGTCGAGCGGCGAGGCAATGGGCTCGATTAAACGAGAAACGAGCCGCGTCCTCTGGAAGAGCGAGGAAAGCTATCGCGGAATAAGTGGACATAAAACTGCGCAAACGGCGGGGAAAATCCAAGATCAAGGTGCCCGAAGGTTAGGACTTTGTCCTGGGAGGATATTTCTTACTAACGATCCTGCGATGCCAGGACCTCGCTCTCCTGGATCGACTCCAGTCGGGAGGAAACTTCGAGTCTCCGGAAAGCAGCGGTACGTTTTGCGAGCACTCCTTAAGATTGCCGCGATATGTCGCCTCGCGAGGCCGGGCGCGACGGCAATAAGTTCCTTCCGAGACAAAGTTTTGGCGATTTGCGTGCGACACAGCCATGCGTCAAGAGAGGACCGACCTGCCAACTAGCGGAGGCTGGGACCTTGATCTTCTTCCTTGGATGCAACAAACAGCACATCCTCAGACTATTTTTTTTTTTTATGAAATTTCATGGGCATTGCGCTCTTTATCAGAGCCTCAAAAAGCACGTGCTGAAGTTCCAAATGCACCTAGTTTGGAGTTTTATCCTTATTTTGACGTTTGACATGTATATGTAGAATGATCCTTTCATATCACTGTAAGACCTGTTCCCTTGGTACGCACTCTAGGTACCCTAATAATTTCCTCGCGACCAGCGAGAGCCGGGGAGGTGTAACCTCGAAAACTCGGTATCCTTCTTGATTATCGATTCCGGTATCAAAGGTGTACCTGACTGATAATGCGTTCCAGGCGCCCGATAACGGGGAGATAAGGGAAGATCAGCACATCGCGAGACGAGACGAGTCTCCCACCGGTGCCATTCGACCCTGAAGAGGGGAACGCGCCTTAAAGTTTCGGATAGGGAAGTTTTAATCTCGGGACGGATGTGCAGGAACGCGAGGTCCGGTGAGGGTTCCCGAGGGTTCCCGAAGGTGGAGGCAACCCGTTCTCTGAATCCGAACTCCCGTTGCCCGCGTCGATGGGATCCATCCAGGAAGTGGAACCTCCCGAGTCGAATTAATCAGGTAACCGGGGGAAAGGAGGAAACACGGGGCATTTGTTGGGAAAGGATCTCGAAATCGGAAATCCGGATAAACGGTGCCCGTTCCCGAAAGTGCGAGACACCGCTGTTTCCAGGACTCGAGCCATCTCGGAGGATCTCGATGCGTTCCGGGATGCTGAAGTAGCTCTTGGAGCCGAAGTCGATCCGAGTCCCATGTCGGATCGAACTCGGAATGCATCCGGCATCGTTGCTATTGACATCGACATCTCCTGGGACTAACGGAATGCTCGCTCGACGATAGGGTCTGGAGAGAATCGTCGAATATTCCTTGGACGAGCATCTCGGAGGCAGTCGATTCCCCCTCCTGTCGCCTGCGACCCGGTAATGCTCAAAGTATTCTCTCGTCCGAGTTCTCCAGGACGTCGCGAGAGATTTCCGAAGTTCCACCTTCCATCTCGGAAGCAAAAGTGGCGAGGATGTTTTCCTCGGTCCCTTTAAGGTGATATGAAAGTGTCATTCTATATATGAAACGTGCAGAAATATTGATAAAACTGTTCCCCAGTCTAGGTGCACCGAGTCATTAGAAACTCGGCACGTGATTACAAAGACCCTAAGGAAAAATGCGACGCCAATGAAATTTCAATTTTCAAGAAGACATTTTTTTTTATCTACCCCAGACTAGAACGACGGATACATATTTTGGGTGAAAGATGAAATTTCATCGCGTTCATCCTTAGCGCCTCCGTAATCACGTGCTGGGGTCTCTTAAATGATTCGGTGCATCCAATTTGCGGAAATGCTTTATTAATATTTTGACGTTTCGATATGTACAGAATAACCCTTTCGTGGAGGCTGATTTCGCAAAACATTAGCGTGGGGGATTTTATTTCGGGAGCGGAAATTTATTCCTTTCTGATCAAGTGGCTGGTCATATTATCCGACAGGTCTTTCCTTATACGTCAAACGCGATTGGGGAACGGGTTGAAAAAAAGTAGAAAGAAAATAAAGGCGAGATCGAGCTCGGTCGAGAGGCTTAAACGATGCGACGCGGCAGTCGACGTCGAGCCGAGGTCGTCAAAGTAGAAAGTTATTCCGAGGTCAACTTTCTCGCAGGAAACTCTCCGGTGAAAATGACACCTTCCTTGCTCTGACAGGACCTACCGGGACTGCACCGGGGCCAGGGGGCAAGGGGTACTCCACGACGCTTCTGGGAGGCATTTCCTCGTTTCGCCAGGAACGAGCCTCGCGAATTCCCCCCGAGTGGGATTTTAATCGCCGGCGTCCCGGACGCGTCCCGAACCCGTCCGGGACGCTTTTTACGCACGAGTTCCCGTGTCCGACCCCCGATCCTCCGACGCGATCCTGCCGGATTTCGGCGCGTCCACCCAGTTACTCCGGAAGCCTATGTAATCCGAAATACCTGGCGCCCCGAATCTCGTTACACGGGCATGAAAGTTTTCACCCGAATTTCGAGAATCCTGACCGTCGATTATTCAAAGGACGCGTCCTGGGTGCGTCCCGGTCCCCGAATTTCCGAGGGTCCTCCGAGTACCCTCCCTGCTCGACATTCGATTTCCAATGGAATCCTCCGATTTCCGGGCATGTCCCCGCCGGGGAGGAAAAATCTGACGGATTTTACCATATTTTCATTTTACTCGTAAAACACTCTGTCGAGCCGTCGAACCGATGGCGCGCTCGCTCCGACTAATCGATGCTGCAATGCCGATGAATTATGGTCATGTTAGCGTTTCTCGGTTCGTACGAATTGCGGATTTATTGGGATCGATTGAAGTTGAGGAAAGAGGGTGGAGGACGGCGAGGAAGGGACCGTCCTCAAGGAAATTAGGGAAATTAGGGACGAGCTGGAGGACTTCTTTCAAGGTCCCCTGACTTTCGAAGCCTCTTCCTTTTTCTTGGCTCACTTCCGGCTCTGTCGTCACCACTTTCACTGGCCGTGATCTCCATTGTAAATCGACCTCCTTACGGGGCCGCTCGAGAACCGTGTAAACGCTTACTCTTCCTTAATGGCGGTGGCCTGCAATTCACTCGCCACTCGAGTGCCCGAGGAAAGTCTAGGTGGCTTCTTTACCGACATCTCGGATGAAAGGGAAAAGCCTGGGGAGAGGA